AAAGTCTGTTGCATGAGATGACACTGATGACCCATCTTAACAATTAACCTAGCCATCTCCTATAGTTTCAGAATAAGCTGAGTCTTTCCATACCAGTGACACAGAGGTAAAAATACCTCCCTGACCTCCACAAGCAGTAATGTGATACCTGGAACTATGAGGTTTAGGTTTCTTTATCATATTGCCTGAGTTCTGACACAGAAGCCCAAGTGCTTGCTCTCACTTCAATTATTGAGATTCATGTAAAATATAAGGACAGCAATGTCACCAATGTTGCGTAAGTGATCATGTCACATTGAATCAATGCTACAAGTATTCAAAATGTCCTTAGCTTGTGGGAGTTATACTAAGAAAAAAATAGTACTGAAAAAAATAGCCATAAACTTTAACAAAAGTAACTAATTTCTTCTTGAACTAAAACATACCTGTAAGTAACCGCAGCACTGCTTTGAGTGTTTTGAAAGGTTTGATTTATGGCACTTCATGGTATGTGACTGGAAGCTGAAAAGGCTTTTCATAGTTGTGGGGATCTTGCATAACTTGGGAAACTCCTGGATCCTAATTAGTCCACCATGATTTGCTCTGTGGGACACTGTATGCACCAAGCAATCAAGCGCCAAGTGTGGAACAAAGGAGCAAAGTTCACAACACATATAAATAGAATGCTGAGAAATCAGTTCTGAAAATCCAGCAAAGCCAACCATAATTTTAATTTTAGGGCTGAATACCTTCTAATATTAGCAAAGAGTGGATTAGAAATTGGAGTAACTGTGTTGGCAGACAAAAGACTAAATTCATTAATAGGGCTATCCTATTTACTACAAAGGCAAATGGACTGGCAGTAAATCCTCATGTGCTTCCCTAATCTTCAAGGGAATCGTGTGGAAATCTCTATAGAAAAGTCTTTGGGTTTAAATTTTGGAAAACTTCACTTTTAGAGAGAGCCTAAATTTGCAGCAAATACAACTGCAGAATCCTGCAGAAGTCTGAAAGGTTTGGGAATAAAAGCTGTCCTTACCTGCGCACCCAATAATTGTTTCCACCACTATAAAGTACTGTGCTATTTTAAGTTCTTTGAATAAAATGGGTTGGAACTCCTTTATAAAAGGTACAAATTTATTTGTATCGTAAAAATATTTCAGGGTAATTCAGTAATTAGGAGAAAAGTAACAAGAGTGCACTAAAAGCAAAGATGTATCAGTGGGGTCAGCACTAATCAGCTGTACTGCAGCACGCTGAATTCAAAGTAGCTCTGCTAAGGAACATCTGGCTGAATTTAAACTGCAAAGTTTGGACTCAGCGTGGTAAGACAAACAAAATGATGACATTGGCTTCAGCCCCTGTTAGCCCCTAGTAACTAGCCGCTTGCAAATAGGGTATCAATGTAACTACTGCCGACTACTAACCGAATCATCCAAACTTTCATTGTGCTGCTTTTAATCAGAGAGAGAGAGGTATCACAAGTATATTAAAAAAGGACTGACAAAAATATAGCGGAATCTGTAACAGGAAGGAACTCTGCTGTTTTGAAGAAAGTCTGAGCAATCATATTAGAATGCCAAGAGTTGCGTAACCTTAAAAAACACCAACAGATGTCTTCAAAATCTCATCCAAAAGAAATTTATCTAAATACTCCGAATCTGAGTTACAAACATTACCACTAAGGACTTCATAATCTAAGCATACCCACATATTTAGTTGGGACCTGAAACACAAAAAAATATTCTTAAGAAGCTATTTTTTTACAGCTGGAAATCCTCCTTAGCTTATACATAACCACTTTCATTAGCCTTCAAAACAGACACAGACAAATAGCATTATCTTTGAAAATCCCTGCAGCTTTTTAATTCTTGGTCAAAAAATAATTCTAACTCTTATGCTGTTTTCCAAGAAAAGTGAGCCAGTGATTCACCCAGTCTCATTAATAAATACCTAGATCCTTATGAAGTTAATTCAACATAGCTAAGACAATTTATATCATCAAAGAGTCTCAGAATTGCATGATTTATTCATCTAAAACATTGACTCAAACCATTTCTTTAAAAATAACTACAAAGGATTATTTTTTCCAAATAAACCCCCAAAACTGACTGGGAAAAACATGCTGTACTGCTCATTCTGCTTGTAATAAAGAAGATTACAGTAGCAAAACCAAAGTAAAATGAATACAGAAAGTTTGGGACATTCATCAAAATAATGTTGAAAAAATACTGAAATCTGTTAACATGTATTTTAAGATTTGGATTTTTTGCTGTTGTTTCTTTGCTCTCCTAGCAAAGTTTTACTGATAACATTTGAAACTTCGTCCATATTGCAGACAATCTCTATACCCTCTTCTGCTTTGCAGCATGGATAGCACTGAATAAAAAAGAGCTTGTAATCATGTGCCGCAAAGATATAAGCAAATAAACTTATATGAGAGTGGATGCCTGAGGCAGTGAAAAGGAAAAGGTACCTGAAGGGCAACAGAACCAAACAGGAAAAATAAAATTAGAAGATGAAATGTTGGTGCTGATTTAACAGTCTATTTAAAAAAAAAAACAAAAACAAAAACCTGCAGCATAAAGAAGCCAAGTTTCCCATAAAAGAATGCTTAATGTTAATTTTCAGATTATTTAAATACGAGTGCAGTTGGACAAGACAGAGCAATCCCACAACTGTACATTTCAAAAGAAGGATGAAAGTGATACCAAAACTCACTGTGTATAGAAAAATTACGAAAGGAACCAACATAAACCCTCAAACACATGTCTGGAAGCAACATCTCCATGCTAGTTAGTACAGTAAGTTCTATGTAGCAATCGTAGCAATGAGTACTACTTATATTATAAACAACACATGTTCAGTACTGAGCTTCAAGGAGCACAGTACATGCTCACTCTTCCATGAATTAAGTCCATGAGCCACACATTCTTAGGGGACTTATGCAGTAGGGATAGGCTTAAATTCACCCCGCACACCAGAAGGAACTTGCTAACAAGCACAAAGCTGATGTCTGAGCTTCAGATTCACTTAGATTTAACAGCAATTTTTACCTTGGCTCTGTCATGTTCCAAGACCATTTAATGAATATCCTGTGGATTTGGTTTCCTTAATCTGGTGCAAATTCAATTTTGGTTTGCTTAGGAGGATTTAATCTGTTTATTCTTAAAGTTTTTTGAGTTGAATTACATTTTCTACAATGACTGTAAACGGAAAAGTTAGGGGGAAAAAAACAACAAACAGAAAAAAATGAAAAAAGCAGAGAGGGCAAAACTCACAGACTTACCAAAACTCAGGTGAACTTTGAACTAAAAGAGATGTGATCTTAACTGAATTAGCATCAGATAAAATCCTAGTGGAAACAGTATGTGTGAGACTGCTGCAAGTACCCATCTACCTGAAAGACACTGTGTTAGTATTACAGAAAATGGAGCACTACCAATATTTGTAGCAATGACTAAACACTATTACCATCTAATTACTGCTGATTCTTATTATCTTTATAATGACAATCAATCAGTTTAATATCGTAGAAATTTAAGTTATATTCTGGAGATAGAAATTTAAGTTATATTCTGGGGATGTCTTTATCTTCTACCAGTTCTGTGTAAGTGGCTTAAAAACAGTGAAGTCATGTATCAAGGGGGCTGTTAAGCTCACAAAAGAAGGCAGACAGGTTTTGTCTGCTGCTTTGCAACACTGTCAGTAGTTTTAGGTGGCAATAGGTTTAGCATAGTTACATCTACCTGTACTTGCACAAGATTGAAACCGAAAAAAGCCACAGAGTTGGCACAACGAGAATTAAAGAGCTCAGGTGACCAGGTTACTTCAGATTATGACCTGTAAATAGTGCTGTATAATTCGGAGGTCTAATGTAGTTCTCTCCTGTATGTCCACCTAAAAAGTCAACTTCTAACAAAAAAAATACTTCATAACAGAATTCCTAAAAAAAAAGAAAAAAAAAAAAAACAAAAATAAACACACACCCCACCCCCCCCCCCCCAAAAAAAAGGAAAACCAAACCAAACCAAACCCCCAACAAACTTCATTGTTGACCAAGCACAATGTAAGGAGTATCTGGAGATACAGAGGGCAGCGGTCGCTTTGTACGCCAATTGTCTGTGACAGTGAAGGAAAAAAAAACACGCCTCGATAAATCAAGCAACCTTTGAGAGAGGATGTGGTACGGCAATTAGAAGCGTAAGCCTCGTGGCCACAGAACTGTACTTCACCATCTTATTTGCTGGCACATCTGCGGGTATTACAGGTTATAGTTTGCGTTCCCCTGCTCCTTTACAGCACTGTAAATAGTTATTTGCCCCTGTTTTAGGAACAAACTCACGTGCACACAGGGCACTGCGAGGCCTACGTAAGCCGGCAGCGATTTCGCCTCTGTGGCGAACGATCTCAATTCCCCCGCAGACAAGCGAAGGGGGGAGGCAACACGCACGCCCGCTCCTCCTCCTCCTCCTCCTGCCGGAGAGGGCACGCCGCGCGGCGGGGCGGAGCGGCCGCCATGACGTTTCTCTGTGGCAACGAGTGAGCATCCTCAGAACACCAGCGGCGCTGCCGGCAGGAGGGGAGGTAACGTGGGCCGGCGGCGAGGTTCCGGAGACCGGCACCGCGGCGGGGCGCGGTCTCTGTCCCACCTTGGGTCGGGTTGGCTTCCAGGGCGCGGCACGTCGTGCCCGGACGTTCCCATCGCGTTTCTCTGCAGCATCCGGCCAGCCTCAGCTGCCGGTGAGGGGTGGCAGTGCGACAAATGCCGTGTATATTTGATTTAATTCTGATTTTTTAAGGGTGGTTCAGGGAAGCCACCTGTGGGTGCCTCATCCTTGACAGCCCCGGGCGGGAAGCGGCTTGCCCCGCTCCTTATGCCCGAGGCGCTGGGCAAGCCACTTCCCTCCCGGGGGTGTCCAGGAGGCGTAAAATATGCCTAAGCGTTGCTTATTTTATAAGGAAAACAGGGTAACCGCTATCTGTGGAGGGGAGGAAGCCACCTTGGGGTGAAATAAGCCCAATTCCTCCCTCCCGCGGCGCGACCCTGAGGGCCGGTTTCCTCAAGGCGTTCCCGTCTGTGACAGCCCATCATGTCGCGCACATGTCGTCTTGAGGGACGCTTTCTGGAGCCACGTGTTGTATTTAGTTTGGCAGCATACGGGTTATAAGGGTTGGTTCTCCGCTCGGCTTATAACAGGATGTTTTCTGGTGCGTGTAATTATAACTGTTCTGTTAATTAGCTGTTGCAGGGAGCTGAAGTGGATTTAGCAGTACCCTCAGGCGAGCCTTCCTTTGCTTACTGGCATTTGGTAGAGATCTTGGTTGTTTATGTGTTTTCTAAGTGACACGTATTAAATGCAGCATGGTTAGGTATGATTCAAAAGTTGCAGCTGAAGAGTACACGTGGGTGTAGATTTGTAGGTAAGCATATCCCTTCTGACATTGCTTTTCTCCTTTCTGAGAGGTTTCCACTTCTGTGCCCCAGCATAAAAAAATAATATGAAATATTTTAACAATCTGTTATCGACCTTTCTGCTTTTACCTGGGGCTTATTGTATAAATTTCATCAGATGGTACTTCTCATCACAGCTGCTTCATGAATTCTCAGCCTTACTTCTGTCTAAACCAAGACTTGTCTACCACAAAGTCCCCCGTTGTGAGCTTGCTTCTGTTTTTTCCTTGGAAATACAAATTACAAGTGTGAAGGTTATAGTGGCATGTTATTTTCCACTCTAGCTAGCACAGTTCCCTAACTTTGAAGTAGCTTGGCTTGAAATCTAGTTAATATTACTGAGGTGGATTTGTCTAGGATTAGTACTTTAGGAAATTTTGAAAGTTTCTGACATTGTAACTTAATATCTGTTTCTGAGCTGATTATAGGTCTTTCACTGAATGTTCATAGCTTTATTTAAGATTTGTCTAAACACATGGGTAGTATGTGCATTTGCTGAACATCTCTTGTGCAGCTGTGTCACGAGTATTCTCTTTCATACCTTTTTACATAATAAACATATCTGGTCCTTTAAAAAAAAAGTTGATATTACAACCAATTCTATTTTATCAGTTGTTTTTTTGTTGCTCTAAAGATAGCCATGAGCCCAAAAGACTTCCTTGAACAGATTAAATCTTTACATTACATCCTGTCTGCTAACTGTATGTATAGTGGAGAAGTGATTCTTGTCTCGCCAGAAACAAGAAAAACAGACTAGACAAACTCTAAGCCTTTCCCACTTCGGTGTTCAGACTGTTAGGTGCCTAAATATATACACTGCAAGGAGTAGGCATTTCTGGGACTTACAACCTTTGCTCTGTTGGTGCTTAACTCCCTGAAGACTTTCATGCTGTTTGCCTGTGTAGGGCAATCCTGACTCTTACCCAAAGGACCAATCTTTGTGTTCAAAAATAGGAGTTTTACAGCTGGTATATGTGAATATGAGTCGAAGTATTTATGTAGTGCTATGTTACAAGTGTTTTATGCAAGACAGCTACCTAAGACATAGGCAAGAACACTGGAAATCTTTGCTAATGAGCAGGCACTGTATAAGAGTACAACAAAACATAGTAAGCTTTTAGCAGTTTGGTATTTCTCATTGGTCATTAACCCACTTGCAGGTTCACCCCCAAGTTGAACAAATGACAGGTCAGCTGCTGTCCTGCTCAGTGGGGAAGAGGATCTTGGCAGATGGTTCCTCTTTCTCCTCTCTTAGAGGAGAGCCACTCTGTAACCCCAGTGTTCGTGCTTTACTAACTCTGCATTAGTCTTTATTAGGTCATTTGGTACATGGCCAAAGTGTGATAGACCTTATCAGAATGTATATTTTTGGTGAGACAATGAAGTGATCTTAATTTGAGGTCACTGTCCTGATTTCATATCAAAGCTTTCTATATGAACAACAGTGTCATTTCAGTAAGAAAATCTTACACGTACCAGCAAAAAGATTCCTCACAACTGCAGTGATCAGCAAAAAAAAAAAACCAACAAACAAAAACAGAGTGTAAAACTTGTATTGCACCAAGGGTGAACAGTGAGGAAATCCATGTGTTATGTGAAGGCATAAGCCTGCATTAGCCACAGCAGTCCTGTGGTAAGGCGTTGACAACATTAGAAATCATTCTAAATTGTATTAACTGCAGTCTTACAGGATTGTTGTATGTTAGAAAATATATGCCGTTTGTCTCTGTTCTTCTCTTCCAAGCCTCTTTTATGTTTCCAAAAGACATTCTTTCTGAACAATGTATTTTAATATATGTGTTTTTTCCCTCTATATTGCTAACCTTGACATAGCTTCAGTTTTCTCTGGTCTCATCTCCTTCTCCCTTCCTTTGTAGGTGGGGTTTTTGGTTTTCTTATTTAGGTTGTGGTGGGTGGTTTTTTTTGTTTGTTTGTTTTTTTGTTTGTTTGTTTTTTTTTTCAGGTGGTCAAAGCTGCTGGCTTTAGTTCCAGTTAAGTGAAGTGTTTGTAGGGAAAAAACTGCCAACTGTCGTAGAGGTGGTGTAACAAAACACACATCTTGGGCAGATAAGCAATTCCTGCCCTGAAGGCTTTAAGGATATAAAACAAACAAAGTTAAATAGGAGAATGAAGTGCCAAATCTTGAGTGAGCTGTTGCACAGCCTTCATGCAAATCCTAGTTACCAGCAGATCCCTGAGATTTGGAAAAACAAAAGCAGACTCCAAGAGGAAGAAAGAATATTGGGAGACAAAACGATCTAGGTTGAGCAATACTGTGGTTGTTTTTTCCCTGGGTAGAGTAGGGCAAGAAGCATTCAAAGTCATCAGTGACAATATAGAATTACAGTCACGTGCTGGTAATTGAAGTGGAGGCGTTTGAACAGTGACATGGTCTGTAGTTGCAGGTAATTAAATGTACCTCTGAACTTCAGACCATGAGGTATATCACATTGACTCTTAGTGCAAAACTGCCTGTGTGTGAACACGTCAGATTGATTTGATTTGAATGATCCGATTGATTTGAATCAAATAATGAAAATGTCTGAGTATTCAAAGTAATAATGTTTATGCTTCTGAACAAGTCATTCTTTGAAAAGCATTGTAGGAAGAAATGGTGGTGTGGTTTGACACCAACTGGCAAATAAGTACCACTCAGGAGAAAATTATTTTGGCTGTGTGGAGCAAGAAATCATAAAGCTGTACAAATATCATGAAAATGATGCTTTACATCCATGAGTCAATTCTCAACATATTACTCAGTTTTGTCCTTTAGCTGGAAGGGCTAAGAGGGAACATGGTATATTTTCAAAGTGGTCAGTCAGGTGTCATAGTAAAAGCTGTAATATTCTTGGTTTTTTTTCTGCTGATATTTGTTCAGACTAATTTACCTTTTGAAATACATGTGCAAATAATGTCCTGAGTCAAAATAAAATGAAGAGACTGAATTTGGAGTTGATGCGTCACAGGTGTTCTTTACATCCACTTCTTTCAGTCAAATTAGTCATGAAGGCATCTGCTTTGATTAGTTGTCCTGCAGTTTTACACATCTATGCTTTCTCATGACTGCATCATATTTTGCAGTTGATTAGTGTAACAATTTATATTCAGTTACACAGTAATAACTGAACTTTCTCTTGTAAAGCAAACCAAATAATCTTACAAGCTCACAAGCCACATGCCTTTTTGAAGACTTAGTTCTACTAGACCGGTAACAGGAAATCAACCAGTATGTTGTTGCAAATGAATTTTGCACAAGGTATATGTAAGAGTTAGTAACAAGGAGAACCGGTAACAAGGTGATGACATGAATTTGCTTTCGTCATCCATTGCAGTTTTGAGCACAGTTATCTGTAAAAACTGTGTCTATGCCTCTCCCTTAATTAGTTTAATTTTTTCAGAAATGCTTCATAATAACAGTAAAGTTTTTAAGTTCTGAAACAGCAGATTTAATTTCTGGAAGTTTGAAAACTATTAGTCTAATTAAAAGCATTTTGCTTGCTTTTATGTGTGACACTTTGCTTTGCTAATTAATTAAAAGCAATTTGCTTGCTTTTATGTGTGACACTAGATAAGATGTTGGCTCATGTACAAGTGATAAAATATGTATTTAGTAATCAACCACCTTTAAACTGTTTTTTAAATATTGAGGCAAAGAGAGGCATCCCACTAAATAGATTGAGGATCTCATTTTACATTATTTAATAGAACACAGCCTCCATTTTAATGTGGAAAAAGCTAGAAGATTCACGAGTTGGAAATGAATGATGTAATGTGTTTCAGTAAATGATGTGTACTCTATTTCCATGGAAGTTACTTTTTTATAAACTGAAAATAATCTTTAGTATTTTCATCTCTTCAAAGGTTCAGGGGTGTCAGGTCAGATTTTCTGTACTGCACTATTAGATGTTGCTTTATGGTAAAGGAAGAGTATGATTACAAAGAGTTCCCTGCAGAAAGGAGTGCCTCTGCATGATCAAAACTTAGTCTATTCGTATATTACTTGATGCATTGATACATCTGTAGCTTGGCTGATTCCAAACTGCTGTTTCAAAGTCCCCATACCAGGGGTTGTTGTTCCCTTAGTTGATAAGTTTATTGTTGGAATAACAAGACCTTTTGTCAAATTAGTGCTACCCCCAAAAAGCTGCAAAAACTATTTTTTTTCATTCCTACCCCCTGCCCCCCCCCCCCCCCGCCCAATAAGCTGCTTTATTCTAACTGATATTTCTGTCTATAGTAAATGGCTGAAGAATACGCTGAGGGTTTAGTGAGGGGCAGGGCAAATGACTCGTAGTGCATCCCGGTAGTTATGTTGGCCTTGTTCTCTAAGCAGCTCATAGTAAGCAAAGGTACAGCTGCAGTTTAAGCTGGTTCCCATACAAGACTGTTCCTTGAATTGATTATTTCTTACTTGAACATATATAAAATGGGGCTTATTGAGGATTGCAGCTAATTGTCAGTATATTTTTGTGCTAATGAATGTCATTAAGCAGTTAACTTTCTTTTGGAAGGCATGGGAGAATTTCCTGGCTCTTCTCTAAGTGGTCAATTCTGAAGATGAGGAAAAAGTTTATTTAATTTCTTTGTTCTTAAATACTGTTAAATACAGTTGCTAATGGAGGAATTTGGATTTAAACTACTGTGGGTTCTTTTCACGTGCAGCCTGCACTCTTAGATAACTGCAAGAAATGAGGCAGTGGGAACTGGGAACAGTTTTGGGGAGGGAGCGAACTATAGAATCAGTTAAAAGTCAAGAGCTGAATCAAGGAGATTCTGGTGTAAGTATCTCTTCACATTGCCCTTAGTGGGAGCCTACACTGTATTAACAATATGCACATCCCTGTTATTAGATCACTCATAACTTACAGGTATAAGTACAATAATTTGATTAATCTTTTCGTACTGCAGTAAATCTATGTTCATGCTTAGAACTTCCAACTTGGTTTTACAGTGCTTGCTTTCTATATCACCTCTCTTTGCTTCCATCTATTCTTTCTTCCTTTTCAACACTGGAATCCCTTAATAGTGCCCTTCCTATGGTTTTGGTTGTCTGGGTGGTTTGTTTCATTTTGTTTTTTCCCTAGAGGTACAAGTTCCTTTCTGAGTTTAAGTTACATTGGCATTTGTCTCTTGCTCTGTATGTGTTGGTTTTTCTGTTTAACTATGCATGAATTTACCATTGTGTAAGAACATATATGAAACAACCTTTGTAAACTGTAGGGTAAAGAGGTGTAAAGAAGACTTGGCAAGAAAGTCCTGGGATAAAAAAAGTGTTATAATTTAGCTGTCTGTGTTTTGTTTTAGATTGTGATTTGGAGTCGTGGAGAATTCGTGCGTTTTCCAGAATGGGAGAAAGGACAGATTGTACAAAGTCGCGTAGTTCACTGGCTGAATACAGCCCAGTAAATAAATCAGACAGGACAGATCCAAGTGACTGCTGTGAAATGCAGGATGGAAACCAAAATACAATGCAACTGAAGAAAGAAATATCTTTGATAAATGGGATAAGCCTTATAGTAGGCAACATGATTGGTTCAGGTATCTTTGTCTCTCCCAAAGGAGTTCTCATCTACAGCAAATCTTACGGATTGTCTCTAGTAATTTGGGCAATTGGAGGGATTTTTTCAGTCTTTGGAGCTCTGTGCTATGCTGAACTTGGAACCACTATTACGAAGTCTGGAGCCAGCTATGCATATATCTTGGAATCTTTCGGGAGCTTCATCGCTTTTATTCGTTTATGGACCTCACTCCTAATTGTTGAACCAACTAGCCAGGCAGTTATTGCCATCACCTTTGCTAACTACATAGTTCAACCTTTCTTCCCTTCTTGTGATCCTCCATATTTGGCTTGCCGTCTCATAGCAGCTGCTTGTGAATGTAAGTATTTCCTGAAATTTACTGTGGTAACTTTTTTCTTCAGGGTTAAGTTTTATTAAAGCAAATCCTACCCAGTCTCAGAGTTGCTGCATACTGAACCTGCAATGGTTTGAGTTACAGTGGGAAAAGAAGAATTCCCAACACATGAATTACTTGCAGGTATTCAGTCAATGAATTATCATTTTCTCATTCGGGAGCAGAACAAGGTGTTTAACTCTTTCAAGTTTACTTACATGGCAAAAAATGGGGGAAAAAGTTTGTTTTCCCTCGAAGGTGTATTCAGTCAAACCTGAAGGTCCTCTTGGTCTGGTCTAAGACTTGCTGTAGAATAGCTCTCGTGCTATAAATTCTGGTGTAAAATATTTTACAACAGCCTCTCAATATAAACATACATAAATACTTAATGTGGTAGGATTTCAAAAGATCATTTATTCAGGATTATTCTTTATCTCATGATTAACTGTACCTGTTGTAAAGATGTTTTGAAAAGCAGCATTTTGTGTGCACATAAAACATTGAAATGTTTCTAATCAGCCAGTTCTGTTAGTCAGTATAGGGGAACAATGTCCACCTGCTTCAAATGAGGACTGTTCTGCTGTATCAAAATTATGAAACCATGATTGCACTGTGTGTGTCTTATTTAATTTTAGGTATTTCCTATTAAAAGTATTTATGTGCATATTTTACATTTCCAGTGTAGATGTAGAAAGATAATGTGATGTCCTCTACGCATGTTGCTCAGAGAGGGGATTTAGCACCATTCTCATTAGTGGAGACATGTGATGTCAAGATTACTATCATATAGGTGGAACAACTTTATTTAACAGTCCATTTTATGGTTTAACTGCTTGTTCTGTCCTGCTGTAGGTGTTAGTGCTGAAACTCACCTCGACTCTACAACTTCATTTAGCTGTTCTGTTAAGCCCTGTGCTTCTCCCTGGCCTGACAGGATTTGTGTGTCAAATCTTTAGCTCTAGATATGATTAGTAATTTATTAATGAAGTTGCTGGGAGTGAAAGGCTGAACACTGGTTAAGTTGCAGATTGTGTGTGAGAATTGGTGGGTCTGTTGCGGGGTTTCTTTTGTTCTTTTTTAAACTGTAGCAATAACAGTACTAGATCTATCGTGAGATCAGTGTTACTGGTAAGTAATGCTGTATAAAACTCATTTTGGCAATGGAGGTGGCATCTGTGCTGCAGAAGTAAACTTGGCAGTTTACTAAAGTTCTCAGGGACTTTAAGTAGCAAAACAATAATTAAGTTGAGGAAAACAAGGGAGAATAATTGTAATGAAAGAGGGAGGAGATGTGGCTTATTCAGTTTCTTAATTATAAGTTTTTTTAGATACCAGAGACAAAGTAGCATTTCATTTGGAGACAGACCAAGCCCTAACTCACTAAAATAAGGAGTTAATAATGTTACTTCTAATGAAAGCTGCTATAAAAAAAAAAAAAAGGCTGAAATAAACCCTGTGAGCAAATACGCCATAGATATTACTAATCATGAAAACTCAATAGCAGAGACCAAGCAGAGTTGTTGTTTTTCCTGAGAGCTTTTTGGCAGCTGCAGCAGCCCTGACTTGAAATTTGATGCAACGTTTTTTTTTCCCCTCGTCATGCCAAGCCCAGTGGAATCTCATTCAGCTATTCCACTTGGCTGGACTGGTATAACAGTGCCATACTTTTGAGATCATTACCTTTCTTTTGTTTTCTTTTATAAATTATTACTTTTCTATTTGGTAACTGTGCTAAGTACATTTTTATCTTAATATTATCACATTAATCTCAGGTTATGGGAAAGGAAATGATATATCACATCTTTTCATTTACTCTTGATTGCTACTTCCTTTACTCCTTAAACAGTCAAGTTTAGTTTTCATTTAGATGCATATTTAAAATACATAGTGCAAGAAAACTGTTCGGAGATAAAAAGTACAGTAGAAAATAACCACTGTTTTACTAGCTAGAGAAAAACCTGAGATTTGGGGGTAATACTTAAACTTCCTGGTAAGAATGAATAATGTAATTATAATCTGGATAACAAATACATGTATTTTGTTCAGTAAATTGAAGATAGTGAATCATATTCTGTATTCAGCATTTGAGTTCAGGCAGAGGTTGGCTGGCTCTCCATTAGAGGAACAAGTAATAAATGCAAAAGCAAAATGTTGAAAGCCATGAGAACAACGTATTTAAACAATAGTTTGAAAAGTGTTTATTGGGGAAGTTGATCATGTGAGTAAGTTTAGTCAGCCACTGTTACTAAAATATTTGTGAAAACTGTTGAGATGAGTCTAATTTCAAGTTCCATTACAATCTTGTGAAATAGGCCTTGACACTGTTTTTGGATAGAGGGAGAAATACACTCAGGATAGTCATTACTTACTACCAGTTCTTAAAAATACAGATTAATATCACATTAGCTGTAATGTTATTTGATCAGATCTGTTTTAACTTCACTTAGTAATGCAGTTTAATGCAACTGGAAAAGATTATAGAATTGCCTGTGACCATATTCAGTATTGCAAAAACTCCATGGATGTTGAACTCAGCCTAACAGGGGAGGATAAACTTTCTTAAACACTATTCTGCTTGCCTAAAGGAATTTCTAGGTAATCTTTAATTTATCAGAACAATATTGATATATAAATATTAATTAATTAATTTAGTGGTTTCTTTAGCTTCAAGGTAGTTGCAGGGTGCAGCTGATGAGGCTTAGTGTTAAGAAAATGGGCATATAATCACAGTAGGGGAAGTTCTTCCATCTTTTGAAACATTAGGTTTAGAACATCTGTTTCCTGCTGTTTTGTTTAAAAATATATTTTCAGTACCAGTGTGTATTTTGCTGAATTTAACCTAAGTGTTAGTATAACATGTAAGTGTATATTTAGATCGCAATTTAAAATCTTCAAATAATGGATTAAACCAAATATTGTTCAAATAGTATTTTAATTTGTCTTTCTTTTTTTTCCCCTCCTCCCCTTCACAGGTCTTCTAACATTTATAAACTGTGCCTACGTTAAATGGGGAACACGAGTACAGGATATATTTACTTATGCTAAAGTTACTGCTCTTATTGTGATCATCATAACTGGACTTGTTAAAATATGCCAGGGTAAGCTTATAAAATTAAAGCAAAGGTTTGTATTTATCAGTTTAACTGGGTAGCTAAAGACTGTAAAATACCTCTGTATGTGTTCTTAAATGCCTTGGTAGAGCATAATATAGCCACTTTGAAAACACCAGTAATACCAATGTTAGGCATTATCATGATATTATATCATGAGAAGCTATCCTATCTCAGTTGACTTTGAACTGGGTAAAAGAAGGTAACTGATTGCTCAGCAGTGTTATGGAATTTACAGCCTGCAGTATAGAATAATAGAGGAAATGAAAACAGCAAAATACAGAGCTAGCAAAATACAGTGGGAGCAGAGAAAGCTGTAGATTTCTGTAGGGAACATAGTGCTTTACAATGAGATCAACTGATTTTTCATCATCCCCCCCATGAATTTTGTGCAAGTCTGGAAGTGACTAAATTAAAATAAAAATAAATTTGTAAGAACATGCCAATAGGTCTCTGAAACCTCAGCTCTTTTTTGTTCATATCCTGAGTTCTCTTATAGCTGTTGAAAATTAGAAAGTTGCTGGGGTTTGGATTTTTTAAAATTTATTTTATTTTTGATTTGTGTGTGTGTTGGCAATAAGCATTCAAGTTAGAGGAATTCTGAATTTAGTTTTGTTCTTAGCCCTTGCTTTAGGGAGAATTTATTGGTGTGTTAGCTTTAAAAAAATTATTCTGCTTTCAAAGGTGCCATAAAGGTCTTTCCTGGCAGTTTGTGTCCTTTGTTCTAACCAGTTATTGTTGAAAGTCCATGATCAAGATAATTATTCTGCATGGAACAAGAGTATGTGAGCAGCATGCTGGGATGCTTAATCCTTAGCACATCTGTCCATCCCTTGTTTTGTAGATACTGAGCTTGTTCACTACTAATTTCCTTGACATTGTCTCCATTTTCTGTTTTTAACTCAGCAGTTACTCTGCCTATGTCTGTGCAATAGCACATGTCTGATGAGGATAAAAAGTGGGGAAGAGAAATAAGTGAAAATATCCTAGAGGCCTGAAATACTTCCCTGGCTGATTTTGATGAAGTCTGAATATTTCAGGATGCACAGTACAGGGCACGTTTTGGAATTACATAGTAACTCACCTTTCTCTATTGGGTGGTTTTGTTCACGTGTGCCTGTATATGTAAATTAGTCTGAATATATAAAAAAAATGCCATTGATGAGTTTGTCTTGACTTGCTTAAAGTCAAAAGATAGCACAAGTTCTCACAAATGCTGGTGCAAAAGACCCATGCACTTTTAGGTTGGGAAAATTTTATCATGTAATAATAGTATTTTATATTCTGTTAATTGCTCTTGGTTTTCTGTTTTTCAAAGGTGAAACTTAGAAATCTATTTAGTTACTGGGGTTTTTTGTTGTTTCTGTTGTCATCCAAAACTAACTAATATTTATTTTCTGAACAGGCTAAATGATTGAAAACTTAGAAGTATGTAGAAGGACAGAATAGATTGTAAATATATATGTTATATAAAATACCCTTAGCCTGAGTCATTGCCGGTTGTTTGTAGCTTAGTCTGTACTTAATGTTCATGAATTTATTGTGCCATTATGGACAAAGCATTTTATTATAGAACAGTATCATGCACAGAGCATAATTTTTAGTAGTATAAATGCCATGCTTATTGTCATGGCTGACACACAAGAGTAGAACTGGAAAAAGTTTAATAAGTACTTTGAAGGAATTAGTATTTCTAAGGTTTTTTTGTATCTGTGTGCCAAAATGAAGAAAAAAATATTACTAGCTTATTTTATTATCCTACACCTCACTGCATCTTTTCCACACACAGGACATTCATCGCACTTTGAGAACTCTTTTGAGGGATCCTCTTTTGATATTGGAGACATTTCCCTTGCACTCTACTCTGCCTTGTTCTCTTACTCTGGTTGGGATACACTCAATTTTGTAACAGAGGAAATAAAAAACCCAGAAAGGTAAGCAATTTGAGCTTTCTAAACCTGAATAGTTCCCAAATTGCTTGTTTTGTGGCTGCTCTGAGCTTATACAGAAATGCGTAGAACTGCTCTGTACTTGATAAGGCTGTGAACAGCTACTAGTGAAGATTCATTAGTTTTAAATGCCATTAAAAAGAAGGCAGGGACAGGGGGAAGGTGAGAACATCTGCTATTTATAGGCATCGTTCTTGTAACAGTTGAAGCTGATGAAGTGAACTTCAGATTTCAGCTTTCTATGTTGTCTGTTCTTGGGAATAGTGAGATGTTCCAGACTTATATAAAATTACTCCAAGAATTAAATGTTTTTCATATTCACTTGATTCGTAGTACCCTCATGCTTGTCCAGTCAAAAGTTACAATTCAGAAATGAAATTTGAAAGAGACCCTTGGCTTTAATCTTAGGTGATGCAAAGTCCTTAAAATGCCATTCCAAGTTAATTTCTAAGTGCTTTTCTAATTACATTTCTTCTCTTCACTGAGATTCACAGGTCTCTTACTGTGAGTGTACAACCTGGAAGGAGAGTCAGAACTCCTAGTTACTAATTTACTGATTTATATGGGGGGGTTGTTGTGTGTGTTTTTCAGCTTCCGCAGCATCAGACAGCGCCAGCTGGAGTTCTGGGTCTCTTGAAATTTTTGAGGAAACTTCCAAAGTGCATTTCATTTTTCTGCTTTGTTAGTTTTTTTATTGTTACTGAAAACCATGTTCATGGCAAATGCTCATCCAAGTCACCATCCTGTGTTTGATTTCAAACTGGGCAAATGTGAGAGTAACAGTCAGTTCTGCTTCCACTTTTGGGACATTTGAATATCCCTGTGAGCTTTGGGGAAAAATAAGGTTGAGAAAAGCCAAAGCCTAAAATTGAAAGTTTGCTTCTGGTCTGCAGTTTATCCCTGTGTTGCTGCAGACTCAGGGCTGTGAGTTTATCTCAGTTTTGAATTAAATCATGCCTGTTTAGATCTAGAGGTTTTCATGTTACTCTAGACTTCTTCTGCGCTACTTTCTAGATGTGTTTGCTAGTAAGGAACACCACATCTTGAGATTCACAGCTGTGTAGCAATTTTGGATCTGCCCTCTGCATCTCTGTTTTCTGCAGTTGCACCACCCAGATAGTTTTCTGCAGTGAGTATAGAGGAGAAGACTGGGGTTTTGGTTTGGTTTAGGTGATCTCCCTGCATCATTTGTAGAAGTAGGTGCTAGAACAACAGTAGCATTCCTTAAGGAGAATAAATACAGTGGCTCAGAGCTCTGCCCTGTGTGTTCTAGTTGTGGTAATTAACATGGCCAGTAGGAAATAATTTAAAGCATGTAAATTTGAAGGCTGTTATGGGTCTGGAAACTCCGAGGCTAGGGTGCTTGATGAGCCCTTGTGCAGAATCCATTTTTAGGCTTAATTTAGGTTTTAAGTTATTGCAAAATCTTAGATTTCTTTCCCAGTATTATACATTAGAATTTCTAGTTTTGACAGAAATAAAAGTCTGTCAGAGATACCTGTTTTGAAATCTTTATTCCGTTTTTTGTTTCTTTTTGTTTTTTGGTTTTTTTTTTTTAATCTCTTAAGGTAAAGAATTTCAATAAGTAAGTTTATTCTGTTACTAATGTATTTTTTCGCCTGGGTTGTGGGTTTGGTTTTGTTTTTATCTTACAGGAACCTGCCACTGGCTATTGCAGTGTCTATGCCAATTGTGACTGTTATCTACATTATGACCAATATAGCTTACTACACAGTTCTGGATGTTGAAGCCGTTCTTTCCAGTGATGCTGTGGCAGTGGTAAGACTTTTCGATTTTTAGGGATGCATTTGATTTTGAGAAACAAACCAGGAAAAATCCCTAGTTTCCTGATTACAAAACAGCTGAGGACAAAACAGCTCATCATGAATAATATAATCTTGAAGTTCATCTTCCAATTTAGCCTGTTATAGTCGGAAACAAGTGTTTCACTTGGAACACCTAAAAATGATTCCTGGTTGAAGCAAACGGTTGTACTGCGTGATAACTGGCTGTTATCTTTCTTGGAGCTGTACAGATTCGTTGGGAGAGTTGGGAAAAAGGTGACTACTTCAGTGCATCTTTGAGTGCCATTTGATCAATCCAGTTTACCCTGATGTGCTCATATTGAAGAGCGGACTTGCTTTGCTTCAGCGTGCCCTCTTCCTCAGTAAATGAGGAATATGGGAGGCTGTGTTTTAGCTGTTCTTCTTTGGCATATAGCTTAGTGATGATGAGTGTCTTTCTTCTGACTGAATTCAGCCAGAATTTCTGAAGTTACTCTTAGACCTTTTGGGTATTACTTCTCTTCTTTCATTTGGCCAGTCACTGGTTTCTTTTCTGAAGAGGAAAATCTGCTTCTCTTTGGCTGCTGGTGTCGTGTCCCTCTTGTTTTCTCACATTGACACCTTCCACTAAGGTTCTCTTGGATGAAATGCACATTTTAAACTTTATCATGGAAGAAATCTTCATTGGGCTAGGCAGTTGCATTTATAAGGGAGCTGGTTAGCTTGCTTTCTTGGAGATAGCACTTCTGTTGCCACTTAGGTTAAATTCTCTGGCTTTGGAGGCCAAGATGGAAACCTGAGCTAGAACTCAAAAGAGTGCTACGTAATAATCTTCATTATGAGGAAGGTAAGAGACTTTGGAAAACACTGAACTCTTGTTCTACAGCTAGTTATTGAAAATGCTAAGAACAGCATGAACACCTGAGAAAATTTAGATCTTCAGGACCTTCACGGAGACATAAAAGAAACTGTTTTATTGTTGGAGCTGTCACCTGTAATCTTAATGTGGACCATGTAGAACAGACATGTCATATGCAGTGGGCATGCAGTATATTAATGGAGTAAAGTAATGCTGTTTTCAGTAAGAGCTGTAAAATTTTATTGAGTGACCTCAAGATGAAGAGGGAATTTCATACTGGACCTTGCACTGCACTGGTACGTTCTTCTTCCAGAAAAGGCATTGCCAGTAATACAAGGAGACAATTATGTCTGTTTGAGTAGAATCAATCAACAGGATGGTGCTTGAAGCAAGAATTACAGGAAACCTGAATGTTTAAATTGCTTTCTTTTGCACCGTTAACAAACTTCTGACTCTGTTTCAGTTGATGTGCACTCTCTTTCCTTTATTTAACATATATATGATGTTAAATCTAATTTGGTCAAACTTGAACGTTTGTCGTACAGTATCTTGACAAATGTAATTACGGCAGCGGAAAGAAACTTCATCTACTCAGTGGCTTTTTTGCATGTGTGGTTTCCTGGTTGCCATAAATCAGAGCTTCTTTGTTTCTTTTAGGAAGTAGCTCCTTAGAGGCCTGAGAAGCTAAAAACTGAGAAAACAGACTGTAGTTTTTACTGCCAAATCATACTGTTATGTGGAAATGTATTTATACTCTGCCTTAGGAGAAAAGTCAAAGCAGAATTCACTGCACTTCTGAGATACTAGTCAGATTGCTTGTAGATATTCATTGTTCTGTACAGCTTTCAGGGTAAGAGTATGTTTTACCAGATGCTGAGGTCAACAGAAAGGACACTTGACACCAACAACAGTAGGCTTATTTTGCTGTCTATGTCAAGATAATACAGAAGTAATGCATTTTGCTAAAACAATAAGCTTATTATACTCTAGTTTTAAGCATCAAAGCAAATAAGCAGGGTAATGCACCTAATCGTTACTACACAAGGTTAATTGTAGTGAGAAAGCTTCATCACCAGTTGCCCTTATTATGCAGATCTGCAGTCACTGGGGAGCCCCGGTTGCAGTGAGGATTTGAAGAACCTGTCCTGGCAGTTGGGAGGTCCTACATAGCGCATCCACTTGTAGATGAAGTCTCCAAAGTTGCTGCAAGAGGGTCCAGCTTTTACATAGTTGAATAAACACTGGCAAAACTTCAGGTGTGGAAACACCCTCCCTGTTGGATTCCACCCAAAGCCTGGCCAGGACTTAAGGAGGAGCCCAAGGGAGTATCTCCATCTATTTCAGCTTTGACCACATATTTCTGAACAAGAGAGTATCTCTTATCTATTTTTTCAGCAAGGTCAGACACCTGATTTCATGGCCTTGCAGTATGTCTCTAAATAAAGAAGGATTATTCTGCTGGTTACTATTACACAATAAGCATTACAGCAAAGCTTTCATAGATTGGCGTATTCATACTAAAATAGATAATACATTGCATATATGATTAATACTGTGCATTTTAGATGTATACATTGTTGGGGTGTGGGATTCATCCAGAGGTCAGCTTTGCTTCCAGACCAGTTGTTCAGGCCTCGGTACTTCAGAGTATTACAGAACTGAATCTGGAAAAGCTCACGTGTGATAGGATCTTGAAATGAGCTACATAAAGAGGCTTTGTAGCTGCCTTTTAAGCCTAATAGATACATCTCATACTTTTGGCATATAGTTTTCTGTAAGCTTCTTACTCATGTTAGTCTACATTCTGTCTGCATTTATACACCTGATCAGTACCGTTTAGTGCTTTGCCAGCCTAGCATGTGTTCACAGCTCCATATCCTCTGCGTGTAGTCTGACAGTTTTTGTGTGCTTCTAAGAGCACTTTTTGTGTGCAGTTAAGTGGTGAAATAGTTTTCCGCTTGTGATTCGTAACATAAATGTGGGTCTTTCTGATTATCTCTGTGCCTGAATTGCTGGTGTGAGGCAGTATCATGTGTGTTTTGTTGTGGCAGCTTGTGTAGTAGTAGTTCCCACTGCTTTTAGTTTAACCTGTTTGTATAGAACAGTTGTTCGAGCCTTTAAAAAGACAAAAAAGTGTTCTTGCAAACCAGTCACAAGTTATCAGCAAATGATCATGAGATCAGACTAACCCAAGATAAAAATAAAATGTCAAATCAGTCATTCATATCTTGAAACAAAGCTGTAATTCAGTTTTGACCATTCTTCTGGGAGTAATGTAACATTTTAGTCATGATGAAATAAGGGCAGTTCAGCTGAGAAGTGCACTGCTGGAAGCTTCTTCTTTCATTATTATTCCTTGTTGATGGTTTGGGAAAAAAATCCCCAAACCAGTCAGAACAAAGGGGAACAATTCCAGGTGCATGTCTTTCTACAGTGTGCATGTATGTGTATATCTTACATGTCCAGTGAATGGGAGGGCGTAAAAGGTCTTTATCTGTAATTGCAGGTGCTGTATCATCCACTAAATTCTGTTTCCTAGCTGTTAGAAGCAGTTATAGTTCAGGTCTGGACTACAGGACTTGTCAGACTGTAGCAGAGATGACAATTTAATGTCTTAATCCTTCTTGCTCTTTAGACTTTCTCAGAAGAAACCTGAGAAGAAATCCATCCCCATAGCGGTGGCTTTCTCCTGTTATGGTGGACTAAATACTTCTGCTATAGCTGCCTCCAGGTAGGCTCCTCTGTCATCCTCCGCACGCCCTTGCAAATGCTCCAGTCTTTTCCCTATTGCCAGCTCATTTGTTTTTATAAATGCACTACTCCCAGAAGTAGTGGTAGTTAAAATGGAATTGGTTAGGTGCTCAGTTCAGAGCCCAGGTCTACCTCATTTGTGGAGGATCTGTGATTGTACAATTGCAGTTTTAGCAGAAAGCAGGCACTAACTCTTCTCCCTCCTTTTTTTTTCCTCTTGATACAGTGCACGTGGTGTATGTGCTTGATAATTTGCTTTTTTGTACTTCCTTCTGACCTTCCTTCTTATTCAGAATAATCTTCTGACATATTCACATGGTTGAATGCTAATTGTAGCCAGTTCTGCTTATGCTTCAGTAACGCTTCCTGCAAGAGACACTGTAGAGGGTATAGCTCAGCTCTGGAGAAGACATTTCTTGGCATCTGTTAAAATGGGAGTGTTGAAGGATTTATAAATGTGTACTCTGAAGTGCAAAGGTGTGTTTATTGTCTGAGTAGTAATACATGAACTTGGCTGATTTTGATGTTAGATGTGTGGCTAAAGTGTGTCAGAAGACACTTGCATAAAGGCAGGTGGGTCTGTACTTGTCATGTTAAGTTTGTTGGTGTCACCAGAAAGTTTAGCTAAACTTAAGTACCCTCGACTTCGTTTTGCTGAAAAATCATTTTGCAGGCTTATCTACTTGGCAAACCAAGCTGAACTTTTTAGAACATTATCGATTAAAATACTCTTTTGCATTACCTACTTAGGGAAAAGTTAAGCTCTTGAAGTTAATGCTCCATCCCTTGCTCTGTCAGGTAGCCAAACCACAGTGTTAGAAAGTACATCAGAAATGAGTGTTTGGTAAAGGCTGTCACTAGGTTATTCTCTTTTGAGATGTCTGACTTGTACAGATCTAGGGAAATTAATTATTTAGACTTTGAGCTGGATTAACAGTTGTTATACATCATAAGGCTTGCATTCAGAATACATTGAATCTGTAATATCTTGATCTGCATACAATTTCTGGCAGTGATACCATAGCTTTGTCTTAACTCTTTGTGGTTTTAACATCTCATGGGAATGATTGCTGCTTTCCAGGATGTGTGTAACAGTATTAGTATATCTTAGAAAGATTAGGTATGCATTATAGCATGGAAGTGGCCTTTGAGTTAGTCCCACATCTGGCATTCCACAGTGGCCTGTTACTGGATGTTTCAGAAGGAGATGGGAGAAACTTGCAAAGAAGAAGTGAACCTGCCTTTTGGGAGAAGAAGTTTCTTCAAATGATATATGAGCTAATTTGCATCATGCAGCATAAGATTACATTGATACGTTTTCTCTCTCCTCTTTAGCTGTTAATATTACTTATCTAAATGCTTATCCTTTAGGCAACTTTACTAACATCTTAATTCTGTAACATCTTGTTAAGTGAATTCATCTTAACTTTGTATATTAAAAAATGCTTTGAAGTTTGATGTCTAGTAATGTCACTTATTATTTGACTTTGGAAATCAGGAGTCCAAGTTTAAATCATCCTTTGAAGTATCACAACAACTGCATGTTAAAATCTTGTCCTCATTCTCGTTGTGGAGAAGTTGTCTTAATTCATTCACTGGATCATTATGAATTACGTTCTGCTTTGGGAGACCGAGTTTTTCAGAGCTGTATTTAGGTCCAGCAAGGATCTGAAAGAAGCACTGTGGGTTCTAGTAATTCTTTATTTTTGAGCAGCAGAAATCTTTTATATACAATAATGTAAACTCATGAGTTGCTTGTTCAGTTTCAATTGACTGAAAATGGGTAATTCATGGTATACGGAACACATTTCTTATGGCATTGTCTTGCTAAATTGATGTTCTGATGAACCTTTGGTAGGATTTCCATTGAAGTGATTATATGGTTTTACATTGTCCTTTAGCAACAGGAAATCCTATCTGCCTTTGCTGATAAAGATGGAACAAGTTTTACTTTTTAGTGTAGATGGTGGTATATGGCTAAGCAGAGTTGGATTCTGAACCTTAACCTGGATAATGTGCTGAACAAAGCACTTTGTCACCTCTGATAAAAGACAAGAAACTTTGGCTGGCCAAGCTTTGGTTTATGTCAGTAAATTTTTCTGCATTTTATGGTTTAAAGATTGACATTATATGAAGGGTGTTGCCTCATGAAAATCAGTCATTTCACAAAACAAATCACCCCACTTTATTAAGTCATTTTGTCTTTTTTTGACATACAGAAACATTCAGATAACAGATCATAATGCACTGCTCTGGGTGATCTTGTTCCTGGAGTAATGAAATCAAAATTTGACAAAATCCAGAAAACTTTACAAACAGAGGCCAGTTCTGAATGTTGATCGACTTTGACTGAACTCCTTAGTTCATGAATCTTATGAGGAAGACCAGTAGTCTAAAGGGGAGGTCAAAGGGGAGGTGTTTTAAAATACTAAAATATTAAAAACTGAAGAAAATTTTTGTAATAGAAAAGACAGATCTGCAGAAAGCTGAACTAGAATATATACTTTTTGCATCTGAGGAGCTGAAATTGGTATGCAAGAGAAAGCGATTAGAGGAAGGTTCATAAAAAAGATTAGATTACTACTACCTCCTGAGGTATGAAATGTTCTCATACCCACAGAGTCTTTGGAGTTTGTTTGAATATCGTTTATACATAAGCATATACCTTTATGTTTCTATAAATAGTTGTTTCATGCTGTCTAATGTAGACATATTCCTTTTGGTACCATGACTGTTACTTTGCTTCTGTAAAAGAAATCGTGGAAGTAATTTAGCTATTGGTAGGTAGAATTGGGATAGGAAGGCTTTCACCCACATCTTTTGGACACAGCATGAGTGGATTTTTGCTTAACTCCAAACATGATAATGTTCAGATACGTACAGTGCTCAGACCAAGATGGGATTTGGAATAGCTGCCAGTCTTCATGTGTTAAGTTTCTTGATTTTTTTTCAAACATTTTGTCTGATATTCTAAGTCTCCGTCCCTTTTTTTCTCCACCCAGGAGGCTGAACAGAGTTGACAAGGACAATATTTTGCAAATTAGTACCCATTTTTATTATAGGTCCCAGGTCACTGGCAATCGAGGACTTCTACCATTTGCTGTGAAACTTTGATGCTGCTGGCTTTGAGGTTTCAGAGCTCTGTGTCAGAAGGTCACTGCAGTTGGCCTGCACTATTGTCAGGCAACACTAACAAATGACTGCTACTCAGATACTTGCTCTGTCATTTGCCATGTTGTGAGACAGAGCCCAGAGGCCCTGGTGGTGGAGTTAAAGGAAAAGGTGTTGCTTAGGGAATCGAGAAAGAGGGAAAATTAAATAGATTCCTAGAATCTAGGAATCTACAGTATAGAGTCTACATCAGGAATAAGCAGTAGGTGTGATGGTGGCTACGTTGATAATCTGCAATGTGGCACTATCCTTTTTGTATATGTAATAATATTGTTGTTCTTTATTCTCTGTAGTTGCTATGTCCCACTTGAGATGGGTAGCTCAGTTAGATAATAAAACATACTAGGTTTGGTGAGAAAATTATAAAACCTTTTTGTTTTCCTTTGTGAGGAGAAAATGTTAGTTCAGGTGGTTGGCCAAGGAAGTTTGTGCTTATTTAGAATCTATAAATAAATAAATAAGCTGTGTGCTTCTTTGTATTGCATTATGGATTGTCCATACAATAGCACTATTTTTCCATACAAACTTATTACAAAAGCTCTGATGTCATTATTTTATGTATGCTTTGTTGCAGATATTTTCATGTTTCCTTTCTTTTTTCCCTTTCATCAGACATTTGCTGACCAGGTATTTGGTATCTTCAGCTGGACAATTCCCATTGCTGTAGCCTTTTCTTGTTTTGGTGGACTTAATGCTTCAATTCTAGCATCATCAAGGTAGCGCATACCTCTTTCTGTTTGACAAACATTTATAAGTATTTTCATATGTTACTGTTATGCTCATCTGTTTATGAGAGTAGCAAAAATTGTTGGGTAACCGAAACTATAATGAGTAGCCACAATAAAATAACAGACCTAAATAAACCTCTGTGCACGTGTACATACACCTGTAACACTGCCTTACTTTCCCAAAGCACACCTAGGTGTATGTGGAGTACAATTAAAGATCAAATGAATGTTGTCTGTGTGGTGAGTCCTCAGGCCTTCTGATTCTTCGGATTGAGCTATCTTCCATTTTCATTTATACAGTAATTCCTGCAACTTCTTATTTTCAAATGTATTTACTTAAGATTTACTTCTAAAATCAGTGTCTTTAAGGTTTTTTTTTTTCATTAAAAAGTTTTAAAGGTTGCTGCTGCTATTAAGCTGCAGCCAAAAAGCTGATGATACAGTACAGAAACTTGCCTCTGAACACTGATTATGGATGTGACTAATGAGAGTTTTAAATAGATTAATTCAGGCATTTTAAGATCCTTCTTGTCCATTGAATCTATGTGGAATGCCTCTGTACTGAGAACAATATGAACATAATCTGGTGAAGTACTGAATACAGAACAATTTGCAGTTGATAATATTTATTATTTATTTAGTAAATTATTTTGACTGGTATTGTCCTTTGATTTTCTGCAATACATTATCTCTCATCTGTGGCATCAACAACTGTGTTCTGGTTTGGGTTGGGTTGTTTTTTTTTCAGGCTGTTTTTTGTAGGATCTCGAGAAGGTCACCTTCCTGATCTGTTGTCTATGATACACATAGGCAGGTTCACACCTGTGCCAGCACTGCTCTTCAATGTAAGTTACTATTGCTTTTCAGCTATTCAGATGTGACTATAGGAACTATTTAAAAGAAGACTTAAAATCATGAACTTCAGATGTAGAATAGAATCATAGAACAGTTAGGGTTGGAAATAAAGATCATCAAGTTCCAACCCCCCTGCCATGGGCAGGGACACCTCACACTAAAACCATGTCACCCAAGGCTCTATCCAGACTGGCCTTGAACACCACCAGGGATGGAGCATTCTTCAGGCAACCCATTCCAGTGCCTCACCACCCTTACAGTAAAGAATTTCTTCCTTATAGCCAATCTAAACTTCCCCTGTTTAAGTTTTAACCCATTACCCTTTGTCCTATCACTACAGTCCCTAATGAAGAGTCCCTCCCTAGCATCCCTACAGGCCCCCTTCAGATGCTGGAAGGCTGCTGTGAGGTCTCCACGCAGCCTTCTCTTCTCCAGGCTGAACAGCCCCAACTTGCTCAGCCTGTCTTCATACAGGAGGTGCTCCAGTCCCCTGATCGTCCTCGTGGCCTCCTCTGGACTTGTTCCAACAGTTCCATGTCCTTTTTATGTTGAGGACACCAGAACTGCACACAATACTCCAAGTGAGGTCTCACAAGAGCAGAGTAGAGGGGCAGGATCACCTCCTTCGACCTGCTGGTCACGCTCCTTTTGATGCAGCCCAGGATACTGTTGGCTTTCTGGGCTGTGAGCGCACACTGCCATCTAATGTCATCAAGATGATTTCTGAGAGAGTGATTTTTGAGGCATAAAATTGTGCCAAACACCAGAGTGTAAGATGGTACTTTAAGTCAAAAAGCAGCATAAACAATAAGTTCCAAACTTCTGTTGTTCAGCTCACTCTTGCTTTTTTCTGACAGTGTGTTATGACTCTTATATACCTGGCTGTGGAAGATGTCTTCAAGCTTATTAATTACTTCAGTTTCAGTTACTGGTTTTTTGTTGGTCTGTCCATTGCTGGGCAATTATATCTGCGTTGGAAAGAACCAGATCGACCCAGGCCTCTTAAGGTAGTATTCATTTATTACAGAATTGTTTAAAATATCTGTCTTCCACATAATGTAAAAGTACTGTCTAAAATCTGGACCATACATAGTATGTCTAAAGATTACAAATTGAACAGGACATAAAACATTACTTCCATTTTCTATTGTGCTGTGAAAGCCAGTTTGTCTGCTAGATAAGAATAAGTGATTGTTGTAATAGTGTATTCTTTTATTGCCCATTAGTTCAATCAGTAGCCCTTCTCATCAATTGGAGAATGTCTGAAAAGGTTAACATAGTAGTTAGCCTTTTCTCTTGGATTAGTGATCTCTAATTAGGAATGCTAAAGTTAATTGATTCTGTCAATGTGGAACACATTTCATACTGATTGTGTTTCAGTTCAATGTCTGATCCTCTTAACCATCTTCTCGTAGTTTAACTTGATGCTCTGCATGAGAAAATCATTCTTGTTTCCTCAGTTTTATTGGATTTATCTAACAGCACTTTGTGCTGCTATGCAGTTTCTGGCAACACAGCAGAGTTACCACACTTGATTACTTCTGCAATTTTTAGCAGCAATTCTGTTCAAGAATAATTCTGCAATTTGCTTATGGTTCCAAATAGCCAGATATGAAAGAGGAAGAGCAGGTAGTTTCACAAAGGGTAGAGAGGGAGAAGTCTGTAACTGTCACCAAAATGTAACTGCAGACCACAGATATTAAAACATTCTGTTCTGTTTTTCTCTCTCCAGCTGAGTGTGGCTTTCCCAATAATATTCTGTATATGCACAGTATTTCTGGTGGTAGTGCCACTCTATAGTGATACTATAAATTCGTTGATTGGAATTGCCATTGCTTTATCTGGAATTCCAGTCTTTTTCTTGGGAGTCTATTTACCTGCATCAAGGAGACCTCGGTTTATCAACAAGATTTTAGGTAAGTAAGTTTCTTTATAGACAGAGGTGTTAGGAAAGAGGAAAATTAAATAAGTGAATCTCAGTTTGTTGATGAAAAATGTTGTGATCAGGTGACCCCAACCAGCAGCTAAGTACCCACAGAGTCACTTTCTCACCACCATCCCTCCCAGCAGGATGAGGGAAAGAATAGGAAGAACAAAGGTGAGAAGACTTGTTGGTCAAGAAAATGACAGTTTAGTAAGTGAAGGAAAGAGGGGAAGAAAACCTGCTGCTGCAAAGGCAATAATCACCACCTGCCACAGGCAGGCCTGTATGCAACCAGATTCCAAGCAATGGTCACCTTTTGGGACACCTTCCCACTTCTTCCTCTACCTGTTTTTATATCTGAACTAGAAAATGTATGGCCTGAAATACCTCTTTGCCTAGTTTGGGTCAGCTGTTCTGGCCATCTCCCCTTTGAAAACTTCTTGCCCATGCCTATCCCCATTCTGCTTGCAGGGAGGGCAGAAAGGAAGGGGAAAAAAGTAAAAAGCCTTGATACTGTGCAAGCATTGTTTAGCTATAGCCAAAACACTGGTGTGTAAAACTGTGTTGGAGCCACAGATCCAAAACACAGCACCATATGGGCCACTGTGAAGAATGTTAACTGCATCCCAGCCAGAGCCAGTTAAAGGGGTATGCTGATTTTTATATATATATTACATGCTGTGCCAGTGAGGGGCAGAAGAAGCAGGGAGGAAGCAGAGACAGGACATCTGACCCAAACTAGCCAAAGGAGTATTCCATGCCACAGCACATCATGCCTAGTATAGAAACAGGGGGGAGTTACCCTGAAGGGATTTATCACTGCTTGGGTCAGGCTGGGTATCGGTCAGTGGGTGGTGGGCAGTTTGTATCATGTGTCACTTGTGCTTATTTATTGTTTTTTTTTTCCTTTTTAGTTTATATTCTCTCTCCGTGTTACTTCTCGTAGTAGTAGTAGTAATTTTATACTATGCCTTAGTTACCAGACTGTTCTTACCTCGACCTGTGCGATTTACATTCTTTTGATTTTACTCCCCATCCCGCTGGGAGGGGAGCAGAAGGGGGAGTGAGCGAGCGGCTGCGTGGTTGTGAGTTACCAGCTGGGCTTAAACCACAACAGTTTGGCAGGGTGCCAACAATAAAAATACTCTAGGATATCAACAGAACAAATCTAAACATTATTTGTTTAAAAAAAAATGTGTAGAAAACAATATTCTGTAGTAACTTCTATAATTTGTTTCCCTGAAGAGGTGAGGCAGCATTCTTGACAGCTAGTTTTCCTTAGTCAGATGCATATTGTGTAGTTAAGAGTTGAGATAGGTGGCAGTTCTGATTTATCTCCAATTTCCTATGCAGGTGCAGTCACACGAAACGCGCAGCTGCTCTGTTACTGTGTTCTAACAGAGATGGACCCAAGTGAAGAAAAGAAGTTATAGATCAAATCCAACAAATATTTCAAAGCCATTACAAGAAACAGAAGGGAGGCTAAAGCAATTACGACAACAAAAGGGAAGAGGTGGGACTGGAAAAAAACAAAACAAACCAGAAAAACTGTTTCCAGTGATCTTTCAGAAACACTGAAACTGTACTTCCTTGCAGTTGGATTCCCACACAGATCACACCCTCGCCTCACCCTTCTGAACTGTGGCATGTTTCAGGGCATGTTTTTTTTTTCTCATTGGATATGGATTACCTGCTCAGTTCAGGCACACAGGCTATGTATCAATACTGATCCTTTTCCAGAATTGGTATTCAAATGATTAGAGCTAATAGATCAAATTAGATTTTTGCAGAACCAGGTGGTGAAGTAATGCATTTGGTAAGTTAGACTGAAAACCACTTTGACTCAGAAGACCAAAAGCCGTTTCCAGTTTAATTCTATGGATGCTTGCATGAAATTTGCTGTGCTCAGTTTTCATCACAGAAGATACCTGGTCACAACAAACTACCTTATTAGTCACTATAGCAGAAAAATGAGCTAAAGTTGTGCTACATTATTTAAAGACTGAACCAACTTTCTCCCTTGAAGATAAGTATTTTATTCCATATGCTATGTGGAAGTGTGCCAAGTGTGGCAAGGACATAATCAAGAAAGCACCTTGGCACTAAAGATTTGATTAAAGGTTGATGATTCTTTCCTGTTAGCTTGTTAGCACATGGTCAACTTCTGTTAGGCTTTATGAAAATTTCAAAATTAAAATGGTGTTTGAAGCTTGTAAGCGTTTGTTTCTGAACTTTTTCCAGTAAGCACACATTGTGTTGCCTCAGCAGTCACAAAGCTCTGTTTCTAAATTTGTCACAAAGCTCTGTGTCATAAAATGGCCATCCAAAACCTCACGGAACAAACCACTTTCTTTTTTGCTTCTATATCAGAAGTAAAAGTTCTGTATCAGCTGGAAAGCAGTATCTTGAAAGATAAGTAGCAGGGAGTGAAAACAGGAATAAAAACAGAAATAAAAATTATTATTGCAATGCAGATTGATGCTGATTAGTAGTATTTGTAATTCCAAAGCTGTTAAGTCTAGTATTAGGACACTTTGATACTTAATTCTGGTGCAGCAAAAGAGATGAAGCCAGCCTGTTTGGCTAGCAGAGTGAGGTACACTTTAACACTATGCCTAGAATTTTTACCTTAGTTCAGAATGTTTACTTCAGTTTACCCGAATTTGGCCATATATGCATTTTTTTGTGCATTTAAGTTGAACTAAATCTTGTAATTGCAAGATTATAGTTGAAGCAATGCATGCATCAGACACTTGAGTAATAGTGAGGGTATCTGGATTCTTGCACTAACTCTGTGATTAAGGTTATCTTAAAAAACTACGGATAATGGCAAATGGTAGTAGATGGTGAGGACTAATGTAAAACAGGGTTTGGGGCAGTCTTCATGAAGCAGCATAGGGATATAAGAGAAGTGAAAATTCTAGCTGGGGAATTTTGTGCCCGCTTGGCATGTAAACATGTAGGATCTTTTGGTATTTGATGAAAATTAGCATTTAGTTATTATAATATAGCTTTTAATCTTCCATATGATTAGAATAAATTCAGTATGTTAAGACATCTGTCCAGTAAGCAAGAATAGCTTTAACAGGCTTAGGGCTGTGGCACAGGTTAACAGCAGTATTAAAACCAAGGAAAAAAAATTTTGCCTCCACTACCTTGACATCACCAGTCAAACCTAATTTACCTAAAGTCTCTGCTGCAGCCTACAGGTTGTGAATGGTGTTGATCTAACATCCTATTAGCTATTTTTTACAGACTCAGGTGGGAGAGTGCTGAAATAGTTAGTATGCCCAAACAGGTAAGATTAATTTAAAGATCTATGAATGTAAAGTAAAATACTGACATGGCTTCAGCTGTATCAGCTTCTATGATCTTTAAACAAGTAAAGAAAACTTAGTCAAAAATTGTTTATTTAAGTGCACATATATTGTTCTACTCCAATGGCAAAATTACTGGAGAGAGATCAGCAATAAATGGACAGGTCAAGGCATTTCATATGCGCAAATACTTGTGAGGGAAGCAACTTGTGAACAGTAGAATGTACTAGGACAGAGCACCCTTTTCCAGGACTTTCACTTGCTGCCATGGAAGACATGTTGGTCTTCATGTGAAACCTGGCACATTAGTCATGACCAGAAGGGCTGCTCCCAACAGTACCTCCATACTTTATGTGGATGCTTTAAAAAAACAAAAATGTTCCTTCAGAACCACAGCGTCACAGAATGGGCAGAAAAATATTTTAAAGTATACAGTATCTTTTGCTTCGAACAAAACTCTGTTTTGTTTTTGAATATGTCAAGTGGACATAAACTCATCTGTTTAGTAGCTACCAGCTGAAGCTGGCTGCTCAGATGGTAAAAAGTTTTACCTTTTGCTGGAGTCCCAGTCTTGTATCTAATCTCAAGCCTAGTCAGTAAGTGCGAGGGTAAACCTGCTAGTCACCAACAGCTTCTGAAGGTCAGACAGCTCATACATGTGAAGACTGGTTTCCTGCTGTCCCAGTGAACACAACTTTTATGGAAAAGGGTGTTCCAGGGTTTGTTTTGTTGCTTATTTTTTTTTTTTCTTTTATTCCTTCCTAAGTTGAGTTCAGCATTCTTTAAAATAGTTATCAGCAGCTGTCTGGATTTTCAGTTATGTTGCAAACGTAGAATTTAATCTTCAGTGTGCATTTAATCTTCAGAAAAAGGGCTGTTAGTCAGACTCCAAATCCTGGATCTCTTCGTATCCAAATTCCTGTAGAACCTCTTGTCGGTATTTGTTCCATGTTCTTCTCCTGTAGCACTGGTCCTCATCACTGACGCTGTCTTCAGACTCTTAAAAAAAAAAAAAAAGCATCAACTTTTAGATAGGTTAATCAGACTATTTTAAGCTTCTTCAGTAATTAACAAAGTCTGAGCAACTTCTGTATTGAGGTTTGAACTGTGTGTGGCGTGTACTGGAAAGGGAGTTAAGAAAGCAGAGGCACTGTCTCAAGCATGGGGAAACAAGTCATTGATTTATTTCAAAATAAGCAATCCTTTGCCATAGCAGCAGCCTGCAAAGTGAAGTTCTCAATTTTGACTTTGCAAAAACATTAGGAGCTCATGTAGTTGCAAGACAGATTATCCTTCTCTAGGCAGATTTAACCCATTACAAGAGGAGAATACTACCCCAGCAGTGCTTACTTATTTGCTTTTTTAGAGATGGCATCTAAAAAGGATGAGATTTACACATGCACAGTATGAAAGCAAACAAGTGTTTATGACAGGCACACCTTTTTCTCCATCACTATCTTCCTCAGGTAAGAATTCATCTTCATCGGGATAGTCATTACGCCAGTTATTTTCGTCATTTTCATCATCTTCATCTGTTTCCTCTAGAACATGATCATCATTTACCTGCATGTCAACACAACAGATAAACATTCACTATAAATACACTTAGCATTATGGTGGTTTTCATTCACCTATACCACCCTGTGCAGATAATAAAAAAGCCAAGAGATACTCATCTGCTGCATGCGTAAGTAATTCTGCAGTTGCACACAGGGCACTGCAGAAGCATTTGTGTTGTCAGTATGTGACAACATTTGTGTTGTCATAATACAGCAATCTGCTTTAGGTGAAAAAACAGTTAAGTGATGCGTTTACTTCAGCATTTAAATGCTAATGTTAACGTCTAAAGTAATCCTACTCACATCAGCAGCAGTGTAATACATCAAGGAAAAGAAAGTATATTCAGGTTCCCAACCTGCTAATCTATTGATCACAGTATCTACTATGGAAGACTAAAGCTTACATTAAACTTCCTAACTCCACAGCAACTGAAGGGACAATTTTATTACAAGAAAGTATCTCATATTGAGATTAAAGTCAAGTTCTCAAATACTGGAAAAAAGCGTGTCTCCCTTTGCTCCTTTTTTCACATAACCATATTTACAGCTACATTTTAATCACTGCCTCTTAATCACAAATAAGACATGTATTACTGAAGTTTTCATCTGTGTGCCAAAATTTGGCAATTTGAAGCCAGACACATTCTTACGAGTCCATGAGCTATATCCCTTTAGTTTTCATTGTCATAACGTAATTTCCTGGAATCAGCAGTAACCTGTAGGAACACAGAACTGGCAGCTGGAAAAAGCCCAACACATAAGTCCCTGAGCATATGTGTAGTATCTCAAAGCATCTTTCTTGGTATGGCAACTTCCAATGATAGGATGTTAAGAATATTTATTTGTGAGCTTTATATTTAAGAAAGCTGTTTTCCCAAGACCTTACCAGTTCATATTCTTCTCTGTAGGGCTGTACAGAAAGAATATTTTGGATCCAGCCAGGGGCTGATGATTCCATATAGTAGATGTCATAAACATACTCATCTTCTTTCTCGTGTTCCTTTTTACTATCTTCAGAAACATTCAAACGCTCACGGATCATCTCTACTGCATTGCAGAGGATCACATCTGGATCAGTCTTCTGCTGAGAAAAAATAAAAAATGGCTATTTCCACTGAAGCCACACAAAGTTTTAGTTACAACCAACAGTTTTCATTGTAGACAGTAGCCAACAAACAGCTAGCTGACAGTCTGAAATCTTAGACCAAGACACTTCCCCGTTGTAATGCTGATACTTAGAACATTAGCAAGCTAAAATATAAACGCAAAAAAAAAAATTCCAATTACTGTAGTACTGTGCAGCCATGCCTTATTTCAGGTAATAGCAGAAAACTTTTGGGACAAATCTTTAGAAACTACTGAAAGGGATACAACTAATCCCACAGAATTGTTCATCTGTTTCTAATGACATGTTGGTTGAAAAGGCAAGTCTTCAGCCAGCCTGTGCTTTGTACAACATTACACTTGGAACACTGCAGGAAAGATGTGCATTCAGCAGCATGGATAATATGCAAACAGATTACAGTGTACAAAGTGTGGAGGAGAGACAATGAAAATGTGGTAACAGGAAAAAGCTGCCCAGCCCTACGGGTTAAGTTTTTTATTTCTTCTATTTCCTCACTTCAGTATTACCAAGAGAAGACATTTCTTCATGCTTTCTCCTTCCTAATAAATTATTTGCGATGTACCTGCTTTAGTGACCCGCACTTGAAGGTCTACGTGGTCAGGTTTTTGCTTTTAATCTGCTAGAGCTTTTCAGAATATTTTGTTCAATCCACAGTCTTGTCCTGTGAACTACTTACATAATTCTGAGGAACAGCTACAGACCAACCTTTCATTAACTTCTAAATATGGAAACAAAGCTTGCTTCATGCTTTCAACACCTACTGCTAGCTCTAAAGGAGTATAAGAAAAATTCTGATGCTACCTCAGTTTCATTTCTGTTTTTCTAATCAGCATAATGATTGACAGCAATTAGCTAATATCTCGAATGTCTGCTTGAACTACCTGCTTAATGGAAAGTGAGAGTTTGTATTAAAGACTGATGGCAAAGCCCTGAAATAACCTATCAGAAATGCTGAAGGGTGACAGCTGGTTACGTTCTTCCTCACCTAGGTTATCTTTTTTAACATCAACCATTTAAGTTTTCCTTGGTGCTCTCACAGCTGCATAAATAAAGCATTCATGTGTACTTACATATAGTGAAGGCATTAGAGAAAGCATAGACAGCCCTCTGACTTTTTACATATAAAATCTTAACACTGTATACAGGGCAACCCTACACAGAACGCAGAGCTTCTTCATACTTAAAGCTATGCTAGGTATTAAGCAGATATTCTG